TTACTCCTATTTAGAGAATTTAAAACAATAGATCCTGTTTTTGCATTTACCTGAACTTTTACTCCCATTTTGGGAATTCACTCATAGGATCATATATACACACATGATCAGTGGAGACACATACCATAAACATGCACAACAACGTATAGCTTGATAATTCAAAACTCAGATCTCCATAATCATACAAAACTCAAAATTATTATTTATCATCTGATATAAAAAGAATCGCAATATATGGAATGAGAAGATATTATTGCGCAAACACATGTAACGGACGGTAGAAACATCCGGATAACGTATGATGAAGCAAATCAAAAGAATACTTTCATTGACATATAAGGATGTATATATAGGAGGGGAGGTAGGGTTACACACACCAAATGAGTCGGTACATATGGGTCTGAGCTGCAGACTAATGGATATCCATAATACATAACAATTTGATATATTTTTTGAAATCTTTGGAGAACAAATAAAAAAGTTATAAAGATTTTTAAAAAATGAGGTATTTTGACGCAAGGATGAAATCACAAGGCGTCATCCACACCAATTCCAAACCAGCCGTCCCAGCCACCCCTTTCTTTTTTCTTCGAGTGGCTACACCATACAGTCGACAATTTTGTAATTTTTGTGAAAATTGTGGTTTCCTTTAAATGAGCATTTTTGCTATTTTAAAGAATGTAAGACCTATTCTGGTGAGTATTAGGAGACTTTTAATGAGCATCGTGATTTCTGCTTTATATATTCGAATTGACTTTCATTTTATTATTTTTTCGTTTATAAAAAAAATTTAAATTATATTTGGGGAAAAGTACTGAAAAGGTACTTGTGGTTGAGCCCGTTTTCAGATAGGGTCATGTCTTTCATTCTTTATCAAAGTGGTTAATGTGTTTGAATTCCGTTATCACAAGAGGGTCACACCGTTAAAAACGTCTGAAAAAGACCGTTAAACGTAACTCCGATTTTCAAAAGTGCCCGAAAAATTAAAAGAAAAATACCGGAAGGTGCACCGCAATAAGACGACCGCTAGGCCATCTTTCCTTTATTGTTTTCACCCACCCTTGTCACCGGAAAGTCCATCAGAAAAGTGATATAAGCGAAATCGTTTTAAAAAAATAATTCAAACAGATCTGAAAAATCCAAAGGCGAAGGTGGTTTGGAGGTCATCTTGACAAAACGCACCTTTCGGTATTTTTCTTTTAATTTTTCGGACACTTTTGAAAATCGGAGTTACTTTTAACGGTATTTTTCGGACGTTTTTAACGGCGTGACCCTCTAGTGATAACGGAATTCAAACACATGAACTACTTTGATAAAGAATGAAACGCATGACCCTATTTGAAAATGGGCTCAACCACAAGTACCTTATATTTATAATCAACTCCTAAGAATTTCAATATGTGAATCTAATGTAATAGGAAAAAGTGTCAAATAGACCCCTCTACTATTATGAAAGTGTCAATTAGACCCACCAACTCAAAAATCATCCAATTAAACCCATGAACTATTAAAATAGAGGCAAATTGTCTTTTTAAGACGTAACTTCCTGGTTCCCGGTTAAATCGCATATGTGGCATATGATGTGGCAACATTTTCCATTTTCCTTTTCTTTTCTTTCTTTCTTTCCTCCTTGCCGCTCCATTTCCTTGTTCTTCTACTTCCCTGCGCCTGCAACTCATCTGTTTCTTCTTTCTTTCCCCGTTTTCTTCCTTTAGTTCTTCCTCAGTGTCTATCCTTCCTCAGCCTACTCCTCTTCTCCACTGCCTCCTCCGACGAGCTCCACTCCTCTGTTGCAGCCATGACGGCCTTGTGTTGAAATCGAACTAGTTCCATCCCTTGTCTCCCAGCACAACGATTCTACGACAAATCCGGTCCGTACGATTCTCCAGAATATGCACAACTCTGAATCGCTATTGAAGGCCATCCTGGCCGTATCTACTGGAAACTCAACCGTACGATGGCCGCCAATAACTCCCTCGATGCAATTGGGTATTCTCGATATCGGGTCAGGTTGGACGGATCTGCACAGCCTTGCCGGTGATAAGTTGAAGGGCTGTTGTGCGTGGCTGAGCGGCGCCTTAGCTGCCAAATGACGACCTCCACGGTGAGAATACCAGTTTGTGGGGTCCTCCATTGATGGAACGCGGAAGCTATTGGTAGCCGACAGAGACACCTGACGAACACATCTCATGTTGGAGGCGGTAAGCAGACAAATAGGAAGAAGAAAGCTAAGGGCGTAAGAAACAAAAACGAAAGAAAGAGGGAAGAAAGAAATTGCAGGGGTAGAAGATCGGAGAAGAAAGCCAACCAGGAGAGGAAGCGGCGAGGAGGAAAGAAAGAAAGAAAAGGAAAAAGAAAATGGAAAATTTTACCACATCATATGCCACGTATGCGATTTAACCGGGATCCGGGAAGTTACCTGTTAAAAAGAAAATTTGCATCTATTTTAATAGTTTAGGGGTTTAATTGGATGATTTTTGAGTTGATGGGTTTAATTGACATTTTCTTAATAGTACGGGGCCTATTTGACACGTTTCCCAATGTAATATGATACTTTTGAAATAAATATTGATATGACATTTTAAAATGAGTATAACAGCAGTAACAAGTAACAAATGAGCATAAGTATCCTACAAAATGAGCATTGATATGAAAATAATAAGCTTAGTTAGTGAAGTATCAAGACATTTTCATTGAACATCAAACATCCTCTGTTGAGTATTAAAAACATGCAATTGAGTATCATGGGTTGTGCTCCCGTATCTGTAATCAACTTCTACGTGAATCTAATGCAATATGGTACTTTTGAAATATGCATTGACATAACATTTTAAATGAGCATAACACCAGTATCAAATGAGCATACATAATTTACCAAATGAACAATAATATGAAAATCATAAGCTTTGTTAGTTGAGCATCAAGAAATTTTTCATTGAATATCAAACTTTCTCTATTGAGTTTCAAAAGAATGCAATTGTGTATCATGATCTCTGCTCCCGTGTATATAATCTAACTCTTATGCGAATCTAATATAATACTTTGAAATATGCATTAATATGATATTTTAAATTAAAATGAGCATAAAACTAGTACAAGATGAACATATTTAATTTCCAAAGTGAACATTCCAAAATTCAAAAGCTCAATTGAATAACACAAAATATTTCATAAACTAATAAATATTCATCTTAAATTAAAAATAGGCAAAAAAACATTGACACCTAAAATATTTTATGGTGCACAGTTTAAAGAAGTATTTAAATTATTAAGGAAGGTTGATTAGAAAAATAAAATAGAAAAGATGTAAGGTGGGACATAAAATCATATTACGTATTTTTTGTTGCACATTTTTATAAATTAAAATTAATTAAAAAGGTCATGAGAAAATAAAGAAAAAGGAAGAAGAAGAAAAATCAAAGCTCACGGCAGCTAAAAAGCAAACTAAAGCGTGGTGAGTGCAGAGGAGAAAGTGGCACGCGGATTAAGAAAGTGAGAATTGTGTGGTGGAGAGTTGTGCAGAGGAGAGAGAAATGCTGTGAACCACAAATTCTTTGCCAAAAAAAAGGGAAGTTCTTTTTGGGACGGACGAAAAGGAAAGTTAGAAGTATTTTCAGGGACGGAGGAAGTAAGAATAAGAGAATGATGTGGAGCTTCTTCGGAGTTCCCAGGCATGCAGATTCGAATCATTCGATCAACAGAGCGAGAAACGACTCGGCTCTTCTCCTCCTGGCAACGGCTGCAGACACACTATATTACAGAAATAACCGGTTCTACCATGCTCATGACACAGCCGACGGTAGGATATAATTTACTTTTTTCTTCTTTTTCCTTTTGTTTCCTTTAATAACCAACCATCTACTTTTAACTTTTAATCTCTTTAAGCCTTTTTAACACTTCCAAAATCCTTGTTTTCTTCCATTCTCAACCCCCAATGGGGGATTAAATTTCACACTTTTAATCTCTATTTAATCCAATTTTAATATTTTAGACTCCTGATTCTACCACTACGAGTGAATGAGGAGTAGGGATGTCAAAAAAAACCTGACCTGGAATGACTCGCCCTGACCAGAGACATTTAGCGCGGGTCTAGCCCATTCCGTCTTGCAAATGAGGCGGGTCCGCCCCGCCCCGCCTATATAATGGAGCGGGTCCGGGTATTAGTATTGACATGTGCCGCTCTGACCCACTCAATATATAAGTATATACATATTTTTTCTTAAATTATTTTACAAATATACTTCAATATACATATGTGTGTATACAATAAATCATAAATTCTTTGATCTTATAATTCTTTGATCTTATAATATATACTCCCTCCGATTCCTATTAAAGTTCCCAGTTTGACTTCACACAGATTAAGAAAATAAATTTGACTTTACCGTGGAGTGCACTGTGTGGCACTGTTTGACACTGTTTGGACACTGTTTGACACTGTTTTGCATTGTTTTGTTTCCTACAATGGAAGTGTGACCTTAAATAAGGGACATCCCTAAAAGGAAAGTGAGAACTTTAATACGAACCGGAGGGAGTATATATATATATATATATATATATATATATATATATATATATATATATATATACATACATACATGTATATATATATATACATACATACATGTATATATATATACATACATGTACATACATACATATATATTAGATTGAGGTGAACGATAGATTATCAATGTCTTCTTTATATATAGCATTTTAATACATATATTCAAGTATTAATATAATTAAATAGATTAAGTATTCAAGTCTAAGTGATTTTTCCTTAACTTTTGAAATTTCTAGTATATCGTGAATTTGATTTAATATATTAATTTTTAATAACTTAACTATTTAGAAATAAACTTTATGTATATTCAATTGGTAACAACTTTTCACAAATAAAAATACACACTAGCTAATTAGATTACGGCGGAGCGGGCGGACCCGCCCCATCCCAGAGCTGATCATGTCAACAAGTTTGGACTCTTGCGGTACCAACCCGTCCTGACCCATTGCCATGCCTGGAGTGACCTAGCGTCACAGATTAAGCGGAGAGCCGGAGATGATGCTCATGGATCAGTTCTTTAAAGTAGTTTGAACGGGTCTCTAAATGTTGACAATGATATTAAGAATTGTTCATCATCATTTAAGGGAATCCAGTGCCCGAACTGCATTCCATTTTCACTCCACTTCCATCTCATCATCATCAAGAACCCTAAAATCCATTCCAGACAACGCAGAAAAGATCTCATTCGTCGTTTCTTATCTCATCAGTAAATTTGGGTTGTCGTCAGAAAGAGCTATCTCAGCTTCCAAGCATATGAATTTCAAGACCCCCGAGAAACCTGACTCTGTGTTGTCGTTCTTGAAAAATCATGGCTTCACAGACGGCCAGATCCTAAAAGCAGTCATAAAGCTACCAACTCTTCTTGTATCTGACCCCGAAAAGACCCTTTTTCCCAAGATTGAATTTTGCCTCTCTATGGGTTTCTCACAGGACATGGTAGCGTCTATGCTAAGCGGAACTCCTTCACTTTTCAAGTACAGTTTGGAAAACAGTCTTGTTCCATCCTTGAATTTCCTCAGGACTCTCATTCCAGTAGAAGAAGCACTTATGACTGCCTTAAAGAGTTGCATTGGGCTTCTTACTAGTGACCTCGAACGTAATTGTGGACCTAATATACAACTTCTGAGAGAAATCGGAGTCCCCGAATCGAACATAGTTTATCTGTTCAAATACCAGCCTAGAGTTTTCCGGTTTGACAAAGATAAGTTTAGGGACATTGTGGAGAAAGTGAGAGACTTAAGAGTTGACACAAAACATGTAAGTTTTGTTATTGTAATTAAGGCAATGACGATATGTAAATTGACTTGGGAAAAGAAGATGACCATCTATAAGAACTCGGGTATTTCTGAGAATGAGGTTTTGGAGGCGTTTAAGAAGTACCCTTGGTTAATGGTGGTGTCTCAGGAGAAGCTTGTGAAGCTTCTTGATTTTCTTGTCAATAAGATGGGATTGGAATCTTCAATTCTTTTAAGAAGGCCTCAACTTACCTCTTTTAGCCTGGAGAGGAGGACTATCCCTAGATGCTTAGTATACCGAGCTCTGTTGGCTAAGGGTCTGGTCAGGGAGGACCACGATGTGTTACTTTACATTCTAAATGCTACCGAAAATATGTTTCTAAAGAAGTTTGTGAAATGTCATGGAGAACATGCTCCTGCATTGTTAGAGGTATATCAGAGTCCACAACAAGTTGCCTTATCCCTATTACCTTCAAAATTGGTTTGATGTTGTCTAGAGTGTAAAAGCATCTGAGATTGCTTTTTGGAGGATAACATGTGTCATTGGAAGGTGATTGGGGTATGTATTATAGTGCCTTCTGCTTCATTTGCTTTATATTTGTTGATCATCTCCAGAGTCTCACATTAGAAAATTAAAGAGAAAATGATGGGTTAATAACAAGACCTTGGATTGAACTCTCAATCCAAGGAGTAACTCCAATTCAGTCCTGAATTCCATCAGTGATACAGGATTCTTAGTTTCATATACCCGTCATCAGATCAACTTTCTTTTGCCATGGATTGCTAAAATTTATGTGAGATGCATTATGATGAGATTTTCTTCCGGAAGCCGGACAAGTTTGTGTATTGCAGTTGCAATGCTGTTACTCCTGAGTTCTGATGTATCTGCATTATAATGATTTTACTGCTCTTTCTTTACTAGGTATGTACTGTTTGAGTATTATATCATTCATACTACTTCCGTCCTGGTTTAAGCTCCTCATTGAAAAGTGGCGCAATTAATTAGACAATAATCAAATAAAGTAATTCGAGTATATTTTGAGAAGTAGTTTGATGTGTATATAACATAATGAAGTCATTGATGATAATTGTGATAGTTATAGGTGTGTTATTTTTAATGTTCGATGATAAATTGCCATTTAGGAGCGTTAATCAATTTATAATTTCTAAAATAGAAATGGGGACCTTTAGCTGAGACGTCCAAAGAAGCTTATGTTGGGAAGGATGGAGTAATAATAGTTGGGAGATTTGAAAGGTAATTATAGTTGGGAGATAGGAATTTCTAATATATACTCCCTCCATCCCATTGGACTTTGCCAACTTTCTCATTTTGGTTGTCCCAAAAAACTTTGCCACTTTCCTATTAAAGCAACTACTTTGTAGTTCTGCTCATTTCTCTCTCCTCTGTGCAAACCTTCACCACATAGATTTTACTTTTCTTATTTCTCACACTTTTAACTTGGCAAAGTCCATCGGGACGGAGGTAGTATATCTTAAGAATGTCACTTACATTATTTTGTGGATTGTTATATTTATTTATTTATTTATTTATTTATTTATTTATATATTCACATTTATATTTTTTCATTTGTTAAGCAGTGAGTTTTGTAGTCTACGTATAAGAATTCATAAGGTACTCCATCGGTCACATTCATTCATTCATTTTCATTTACCCCAGTGCCGCAAAGGCTCCCACCTACGGTGGGGTAAGGGGGGGTCGGATGTACGCAGTCTTACCCCTGTACTAAAGCACAGAGAGACTGTTTCCGGTCACATAAGAAATCAAATTTGTATCAATATTTCAGTATTACAAATTTAGACATTAAGTAGGATATATTCTGATTTCTGAATTAAGGTATAAAAAATCTTACAGTTTTTAGTTTCACTTGGGATATATTCATATATTCTGATTTCTGAATGAAGGTATAAAAAATCTTACAGTTTTTAGTCTCACTTAGGAGTTAGGAACATGGCTTTTCTTTCCTGAAACAGACTGTCATTTTGTACTACAAAATCAAAGACAAGTTAAAGTTATGGCATTTTTAAGGGAATTCTATCAAAAAAACTAAAAAGTCAATAAAATCCTTCTACTAAACAACAACCCCATTAAGTTGCTTGAGTAACATTTTTTCCATTTCTTATTTCCCAAACTTTTCTTTTTCTTTCTCTTTATACTTCTCCCAGAAGCATTACCAACTTAACATACCGCCACCACTTCTTTCATCACGTTTGACTTGGACCATTGCTGCCAAGGAGGCGAGGATGGCCATAATGCATGACTACCCTCTCTACATAGTTGAGTATCCAAGGTTCATTACCTTCATCCAGACTCTAGAGTCTCCAACCATGGTTTGATACATGGATTTAAAATGCAGACCGCAAAGCCCGATGCGGCTGCAATATTGCAGCTGTGGGCACTGCCGCAACTGCATCGGGCTGCAATGGCAGCGTTTTTGAAATTCAAGGTCAAAACTGCAATGTAACCACGTCTGGGCCGCATCAGGACTGCTATACTATTTTTTTCTTTTCATATTTTGTCCGATTGTAAAATTAATTCACACCATGTCAGTCACAATACGCATCGCAGCGGGCGCAATAGCTACAAACGCAATAACCGTGACTGAAACCGCAATTTTAAACCACGACTCCATATGGTCAGCTTCAACACTGTTCAAGGAGACTCTAAGGCTACTTAGCGTAGATAGAAAGATTATGCTCAAAGGGTGGACTGGAGGTATGCCGGGAGGACATGTTGCCTCACGTATGTGGTCTTCCTACCAATCCCACGCGAGGGTCGGCTATGTTCTCATAACCGAGCAGTTCATTGATTTCGAGTTGAAGAATTTGACACAGATTTCTGCTACGCCTCGGTAAGTGATGGCGGTATCACCTCCAACAATGCCCAAGTCCTTCTCCCGTTTACCTTCAAAATTGGTTTGATGTTGTCTAGAGTGTAAAAGCATCTGAGATTGCTTTTTGGAGGATAACATGTGTCATTGGAAGGTGATTGGGGTATGTATATTTGCTCCTGCCTTCTGCTTCATTTGCTTTATATTTGTTGATCATCTCCAGAGTCTCACATTAGAATTAGAAACTTAAAGAGAAAATGATGGGTTAATAACAACACCTTGGATTGAACTCTCAATCCAAGGAGCAACTCCAATTCAGTCCTGAATTCCATCAGTGATACAGGATTCTCAGTTTCATATACCCGTCATCAGATCAACTTTCTTTTGCCATGGATTGCTAAAATTTATGTTAGATGCATTATGATGAGATTTTCTTCTGGAAGCCTGACAAGTTTGTGTTTACTGCAGTTGCAATGCTGATACTCCTGAGTTCTGATGTATCTGCATTATAATGATTTTATTGTTCTTTCCTTACTAGGTATGTACTGTTTGAGTATATTATATCATTCATACTACTTCCGTCCTGGTTTAAGCTCCTCATTGAAAAGTGGCGCAATTAATTAGACAATAATTAAATAAGGTAATTCGAGTATATTTTGAGAAGTCGTTTGATGTGTATATAACATAATGAGGTCATTGATGATAATTTTGATAGTTATAGGTGTGTTATTTTTAATATTCGATGATAAGTTGTCATTTAGGAGCGTTAATCAATTTATAATTTATAAAATAGAAATGGGGACCTTTAGCTGAAAGTCTGAAACGCCCAAAGAAGCTTATGTTGGGAAGGATGGAGTAATTATAACTGGGAGATTTGAATGGTAATTATAGTTGGGAGATAGGTATTTCTAATATATATCTGAAGAATGCCACTTGCATAATAAATTATTAAGAAATCATTTCATATTTGGGACATTGTTATATTTATTTATTTATTTATTTATTTATTCACATTTATATCATTTCATTTTTTTTCATTTGTTAAGCAGTGAGTTTTGTAGTCTACAGATAAGAAATCATAAGGTACTCCATCGGTCACATAAGAAATCATATTTGTATCAGTATTTCAGTATTACAAATTTAGACATTATGTAGGATATATTCTGATTTCTGAATGAAGGTATAAAAAATCTTATAGTTTTTAGTCTCACTTAGGAGTTTGGAACATGACTTTTCTTTCCTGAAACAGACTCATTTTGTACTACAAATTCAAAGACAAGTTAAAGTTTTGCCATTTTTTAAGGGAATTCTATCAAAAAATAGTAAAAAAGTCTATAAAATCCTTCTACTACACAACCCCATTAAGTTGCTTGAGTGACATTTTTTCCATTTCTTATTTCCCAAAGTTTTCTTTTTCTCTCTTTATACTTCTCCTAGAGGCGTTACCAACTTAGCATACCGCCACCACTTCTTTCATCACGTTTGACTTGGACCATTGCTGCCAAGGAGGCAAGGATGGGCATAATGCATGACTACCCTCTCTACATAGTTGAGTATCCAAGGTTCATTGCCTTCATCCAGACTCTAGAGTCTCCAACCACGGTTTGATACATGGATTTAAAATGCAGACCGCACTGCCGCAACTAGGAGTGGACTCGGGCCGGGCCAACCGGCCTGGAACCGGACCGGCCCGCTACTGTGCGGGCCCGGACCGGCCCGGTGGGATGGCGGTTCGGGCTCGGGCCCTTCAAAAGGTGAACCGGCCGGTTCGGGCCGGGCCCGGGCCAATTTATTATTTTTTTTGAATTTTTTTAAGTTTTTGGGTTGGGCTGGGTATAGTGTTGGATTCGGTTCGGGCCACCCAGCCCATGACCCTGCCCGGTACTGTGCGGGCCCAGGACCGGCCCGGTCGGGCGGTCCGGGACCAGGTGTGGACCCGAACCGGTGGGAATGGGCGGGGCGGGCACGGTTCCGGAAAAATCTGACCCGGCCCGGCCGGGTCGGGCCCAGGTCCGGGTCTAACGGTCTAATTTAAAAAAAATAATAATAAATTGGTACTAGCCGTTGGGGGTGGGCTGGGGACAACCCAAACGGCTATATAGCTGTTGGGTGGGGTGCAGGGGGGGTCCGGGGGGTTGGGTGGTGGGGGTAAAAAAACCTATAAATACTCCTAATCTTAAACATTTTTTCATATCTCTTCTCCAATTCTTTCTAAATCCTATTCTTAACTCTCTAATTCTCTTATTCTCCATTCTCCAATATATTATATTTATTATTTATAGTTTATACTATCCTCCGTATCTCATTAATTGCAACATTGGAATATATACACTATTCATGTACTTTACTTTCACTACATCTTATTATTAATGTATGTGAATTATTATTATTATTTTGAAAAATGTTGTTAAATTCGGCTCATTACTAAATTTTATAATCTGTTTTTTTTACTAATACATAATTAAATATAATAACGATCAAAGTTGTGCGTTGGCAAACGTAAAATATTGACTGTTGCAACTAAAAAGAGACGGAGGAAGTATTAATAATCTACTTATATAAACTATAAATAGATATAAATAGTATTATATTACTTATATTTGTTATCTAATTATATATTACTTATATATTTATTATATCTATTAATATAGTTGGAATTATATCTAATTAATTTGAAGTCATTCTATTACTCCCATCGAAAGACCGAAAGTCCGAAAGAGGTACGAAATTATTCTATTATTTACACTTGTTTAATTACTAGTTAATTTGCTACATTTGACTCTAGTTTAATAGTTAGATAAATAGTTAATTACTTTTTTACAATTTTTTATTAATTGCTACATTTGACTCTAGTTTAAAAAATATGTTGTACACAAAACTAGTTAATTTGCTATAACTCGAATTAATAGTTAGATAAATAGTTAATTACTTTTTTACAATTTTTTATTAATTGCTACATTTGACTCTAGTTTAAAAAATATGTTGTACACAAAACTAGTTAATTCACTAGTTAATTTGCTATAACTCGAATTAATAGTTAGATAAATAGTTAATTACTTTTTTACAATTTTTTATTAATTGCTACATTTGACTCTAGTATAACTCGAGGTTAGTGATATATTTTATGCATTATTCAATGAGTTTCATGCACAATATGGCAATGCGCCCCCTCCCCCGACACAAACATCATCTAAAGGAAAATCAATTTTCAAATCTACGTTTGCCTATCTTATTAAAAAATGAAATCAACTCCCGCTACACAACAAAGCACAATTAATGAGATTTCTTTGTATTTAACTTATGATGTTGATTTTGAAGAAGATGATGATTTTGACGTACTAAACTGGTGGAAGGGAAAAGAAAGAATGTTCCCGGTTTTAGCAAAGATGACTAAGCAAGTGCTATCAATGCCGGTTTCAACTGTTACCGTGGAACAAGAATTTAGTTCGGCCGGCAATGTCCTAACACAAACCAGAACGAGGTTGAACGCTGAATCTCTTGAGATGCTTATATGCTACCACGATTGGTTGAAAGCAGCCCGTAGAGCTCAAGAAATTGACATAACCACATCCCAACACTTTATTGATGAATCTACAACCGAGGGTGGCTCTACTTATGCCGGAGATTTCGATTGAAATATTGAATGATTGATTAGTATTTCATGTTTTAAAAACAATTATAGTTCCTATTTAATTTTCAAATGTAGTTCCTATTTCATTTCAAATAAATGCACTTGAAGTTTGTTTTTTAATACTTGTATAAAACTATAAAGTAGAAAATACAAATTTAAAAAAAAATTAACTGACCCGGCCCAGCCCGGCGGGTGGCCCGACCCGTGACCCGGGCGGGTGGCCTAGCCCGAACCGGACCTGTCCAACCCGCGGGCCGGTCCCGGGCCCATGTGATACGAACCGGCGGCCTGACCGGGCCTGACCCGACCCGAATCCACCCCTAGCTGGGTATTTTAGGCCATTTGAGGTGGTTAGGGTTGGTTTGGGGGTGAGGGGGAGGGTTGGAGGTTAACTAGGAAAAGCCAAAAAAAAAACAAAAAAACAAAAATAGAATCGAGGCCCGGCCCGGACCCGGGGTTACTCGGGCCGGTTCCGGGCCTCCCCTTCATGAACCGAGGCCCGAACCGGCCGGAACCGGTCCACCCCTAGCCGCAACTGCGTCGGGCTGCAATGGTAGCGTTTTTGGAATTCAAGGTCAAAACCGCAACGTAACCGCGACACCACGTCCCGGCCGCATCAGGATTGCTATACAATTTTTTTCCCTATTTCCTTCGAATGCAAAATTAATTCACACCACTTCAGTCGCAATACGCATCGCACAGGACGCAATAGCTACAACCGCAATGACCGTGACTAAACCGCAATTTTCAACCATGACTCCATATGGTCAGCTTCAACACAGTTCAAGGAGACTCTAAGGCAACTTAGTGTAGAGAGAAAGATTATGCTCAAAGGGTTGACTGGAGGTACGCCGAGGAGGATATGTTGCCTCACGTATGTGGTCTTCCTACCAATCCCACGCGAGGGTCGGCTATGTTCTCATAACCGAGCAGTTCATTGATTTCGAGTTGAAAATTTTGACACAGATTTCTGCCACGCCTCGGTAAGTGATGGTGGTATCACCTCCAACGATGCCCAAGTCCGTCTCCCGTTCATGGCGAATCACCTATGATGATGTTGTCCATACACCATTCACTTGTCGGTGACACTGACAACCCATTAGTTTCCATTTGGTTCCAGAAATTTGCTGCACACAAGTAGGTCTAAACATTAAGGGTAAAGTACCAAATTAACCCTCGAACTAACATTGATAGTGCAAATCACCCCCTAAACTATAAAAATGTGCAATTAGGACATCCAACTCGTCGACATAGTGAATTACCCCTTAAATTAAAAAAAATCTACAACCAAATTCTCCAACTCAGTGATATAGTCCAAATGACTTTCCTGAGGTGTAATTTACCGATTAAAGTTGATATGCGCCATTTATTAAAAAATTATGTCACATAATATTCATTTATTTGCCTCAATATATCTCACTTAAACCTTTTATTGATTGCTTATAGAACAAGGTTGAGCATGTAATCTCATGAGATGCTCATGTGTTTCCATGAATGACTCAAGACGTGTCGGCGAACTCAAAAACTAAACATAGCACCGCCTCACCACTTCATGAAGGAAACAACTACAGACCAAGGAAGCAGAAGTTTCAAAGATTAGGGATGTTTTTAATTGGACTGAAATTTTTTGGTCTAGCCATGTCTTATTTGGTAAATGTATGGTCTCTGTGTATATTATAACTATGGAAGTCTAGTCTAATCTGATATGTTTAAGTCTGATCTAGTCTGTTTAAGTCTGATCTGGGAGTGAAACTGTCCAAGTAAAAACCTCCTAGGAGATTTATGTAACCTTTTTCTATTGTTATTTAAATATTTTGTAATTATACAAGCCAATTAAAAAAACATCATATAAGTAAGCTTACTTTAAAAAATTGATTAATTTGGCCATTTGATCATTTTGAACTCTAATAGCATTTTTTAATATTAAAAAACTGTTTCTATATACTTTTACATTTTGTAAAATTTTTATATTATTATAACATTATTTTTAAAATTTATGAATTTTTATAAGATTTATCAATATCCCTAATTTAATTTTAAAAAAAATAACCTGCTACAGCAACTCAAAATGGCTTGATTGATTGTATTTAAAAGTAAGCGTACTTATATTATATTTTTTTAGTAGAATAGCTTAAGTGATGAATTGAAAATAGTAGGATAATCCATTTGACAATTTACCTTTTTCTTTAATAAATGGCATAAATCAACTTTAACCGGTAAATTACCGCTTGGAAAAGTCATGTACACTATATCGTCGAGTTATGGAATTTGGTTGTAGTTTTTTTTTTTAATTTAAGGGGTGATTTGCACTATATCGCTGAGTTGGAAGTCTTGGTTGCACGTTTTTATAATTTAGGGGGTGGTTTGCACTACTCATGTTAGTTTGAGGGCTGATTTTGGTACTTTTCCCAAACATTAATTTCATACATAAGGTTAATTCTTCGGGGATTGATTGTGGTGGTAAGGTGAGATATTGGCTGAAGAGGTGAGGGGGAGATGATAGGGGAGACCGAGAGAGAAAGGATAGAAGAAAAGATAACAATTAAGCACCGACTTAGCACACAAGTTGTCAAGGGGAATTAACGCCAATTTGAGCATTTTTATAATTTGATGGGGTTCATCGAATAATTATTCGATATGAGAGTTTGATCGACTTTTCTTGTAGTACAAGGGCTTACTTTATAAATCGTTTAACCATACTAACTTACTAAGGATACATGTTTGTTTCTAAGGCACACATCTAATTGTAAAAACACTCAAATTTATTGAGATTTTTAATTTTTATAATCATATTTATGTGTAATTATTTATTATCAATAAAACTTTCGTTGGTAAACAAATATATGTACTGTAGACATGTCACTTATGACTTGGTTCAAATAACTCTAGACCAAGGTCACAAACTCCAACTTACAAGCTATATCATCCGTTTTCAATTAGATGCAACATAACATTATGGCTCTTTCTTATTTGGGCGCCATAAAGTAACTTTTTTCTCTATTTTACCCTTCTGCAGGCGTAACATCAGCTTTTCTCTCATATACATTTTTCCTTCTTCTATGTAGCAATGATTATTGTTGATCTAAGAACTTTATATATTTAATTTTCTTTGTGCGTTATACTCCCTCCGTCCCTGAAAATACTTCCAACTTTCCCTTTTTGTCTGTCCCAAAAAGAACTCCCTTTTTCCTTTTTTGGCAAAGAATTTGTGTTTCACAACATTTCTCTCTCCTCTGCACAACTCTCCACCACACAATTCCCACTTTCTTAATCCGCGTGCTACTTTATTTTGGAAGTAAATTATGGGACGGAGGTAGTATAATTTTCTGTTGTCACCATTTGGAAGTTGAAACTTCTTGCTGAAACTTCAAATGAAAGAAAAGCAAACGAGATCAAAAGAAAGTAGGTGGAAAGAATGAAGAAAAACTATTGAGGCTAGAAGAGAAAGGAATGTGCCTGATGGAAAAAAGGCCAGGGGATGGAAGGAGAAGAAAGGGGAAAATGAAGGGATGGGCAGATGAGTGAAAGGGTTGGGCTAGGGAATTTGGGGTGCACATGGGTTAGCATTATTTTATTGGATTCTAGTGTAGTATAGACATTGTGGTTATTTCTTATTACTAGAAACTAGAAAAAGTATGAAAGACACGAAAAGCACCTAATAGGGGTGAATTAGGTGTTTAAAAAATTTGGTGCTTAAGATTAAAACAATGCGGAAATACCCAAGTAATTAACAAGGTAGAAAACAAACAGTGTGAGAGAGAAGTGCTCAAACAAGTGTAAAACAAGGAGTGTTTGTGTGTGTTCAAACAAGAAAACAAAAACAAGTAAGAACACAATGATTCATAAAGGTTCAACTAATCTTACTCCTCTACCTAAAGGCACCTCCCTTAGGATTTCCATATCTACTAAAAATTATCTCCCTCGAATGCAAGAAGAGCACCACCTAAAGTTTTGGCAAACAAATCCTTGCAAATGAGTATGAGTTTTACAACGGGCTCACTCACAACCTACTTGGTTTTCAAGAGGATCAACCAAAAACCTCAACTAATGTTTTTCTAGAGGCACACCAAAAACCTCACAGTGGTTTTCAAGAGGCACAACCACATAACCTCAACTAGTTGGTTTTACAACGGGCTAACCAACAACCTAAGATTGGTTTTAGGAAAACCAAACAAAACCTTACATGTTGGAGAATATAAATACAAGCAAAGAATATGATCTCAAACTCTCAAGCAGAATATAAAGATTGACGTTTGACGTAGAGTTGAGAATTACAAGACAATACACACAAAGATATAAAATTTGATTAAGATCAAGTGTGATTGCAAATATCAAATAGCTCTCTCAAAAAATTGGTTTTATCAAGATTAAAAATATGAATTTGAAGATCTTAAAACCAATGTAAGTTTCTGCAAATAAATATTAATGTGATAGCACAAGCAGAATTCAAGACATAGAGACTAAGAAAAGCTTCAGGGACGAAATGAACTTTTTCGCAGAATATTCAAAGTGAAGAGTATGATTTGCAGAGTATGAAATTTGTGTTGTATTTCGTCAAGAATTTTCTTCATTTAATTCAGTGTAGAAGACTGAATATATATATATATGAAAAGATTTGGTCGTTGAAGGATTTAAATCAGAGAATTGAACGATCACTTGGAAGAAAAGTATCGCTAAATTATTGGCTTCAACGACTATAATATCAATTATAGATATTTGATTGATTGATTTCCTTATTTGGAAGATAGTGACAACGGCTAGAATGATTAACAATGAGTTTCAACGTTCGGAAAAGGATCTAAGTCAACAAAATAAAATATTTGTCTTTACCAAACGACAAAAAGGCAATTTTGTCTTAACCGGAAAAGTTAACGGAAAGAATAGCGTTGAACTTAGGAACGAATTTGGATTGAAGTATGGACTGATTTCTAAGAAGAATACTTAGAATTAAGATGAGAGTGGCAGACTTCTAGGAAAGCATCCTCAAAGAAGGAGCAGGTTGCTCAGGGCAACGGATTGGGAGCATCAGCCTCAACAGCGAGCTCAAGCAGTCAGGTTGAGCAGCAGGCTCAACAGCAGGCTCAGAAAGTGAACCTATAGCTGACTTCTAGGAACTTCAGGAGTCCAGATGGCATAAGAAGTTTAGAAATAACTTCTAGGAACAACCTACTAAACATATGAGTAGTCAGCAGGTTGCTAGACGAGCAACTGTGAGCAACAGGCTCAACAGCAGGTTGCTGTTGAGCAACGGGCTGCCGGAAAAGCCAACTAAAAGCGCAAACTCTAGGGAACTTTAACCACGATTCAAACACATATTTAAGATGGATTTAGAACTTTAAAACTGAGGTCACGTTGCAGCAAACGGATGAAAAAAAACTTGAAGGCAGCTCACTCAAAATAAGAAAAACTCAAAGAACGAAAACTAGTGAGCTATTTTGAAAAGGCACTCAGCTATGGGTGGACTCGGGCCGGGCCAACCGGTCCGGAACCGGACCGGCCCGCTACTGTGCGGGCCCGGCCCGGCCCGGTGAACCGGTTCTGAGCCCGGTTCGGGCCAACCGGCCCGGTGGGATGGCGGTTTGGGCTCGGGCCCTTCAAAAGGTGAACCGACCCGGCCGGTTCGGGCCCGGGCCGGGCCAATTTTTTTTTTGATTTTTTTGATTTTTTTTAAGTTTTTGGGTTGGGTTGGGTATTTTGGGCCATTTGAGATGGTTAGGGTTGGTTTGGAGGTGAGGGGGAGGGTTGGGGGTTAACTAGGAAAAACCAAAAAAAAAAATAGAACCGAGGCCCGACCCGGACACGGGGGTTACCCGGGCCGGTTCCGGGCCTCCCCTTCTTGAACCGAGGCCCGGCCGAGCCCGAACCGGAACCGGTCCATGCTTACACTCAGCTGGTTGGGAAAACTTAGGAATTTCACTCTGTTGTGCAAAAGTAAAATGTTTATTTATTTATAAGAAAAATATTTGAAGTGATAAAATTTATTTGAAAGCCTTTTATATGCAATCCACACAATCTTGATGAAACAATTTTCTAGCTATCAAGAAAGACTATTTTTAGTGGATTGTTTTGAAGGAATTAACCTGCGCCATCTCAACACACATGTTAGCTTCATTATTTGTAAACATCGAAAACTAAGAGTAGCACAAGTCGGCTAACAAAGTAGTGTTGCAATTGTTATGGAACTGACAAAATAGAAAAAGGTTGCAATTATGAAACAGCATGAAGTATAATGTAAGATCCCAACAATATTAATCAGATCACAGATTACATACAAACATAACAAATTCTAAATAATACAACATTTGACACAGTAGTCCGATATCCACCGAACAGAGCCGGGTAGTATCAAACAACATTGTGGTCATAGACATAGTACACTCACATGACTTGTTTAGTTATTTACCCACCTAGGCATATTTGTGTGTCTGTGACAACTTACACCTTCATATGAACTACTCCAACTGTAATGTTGGGAAAATGAAGTATGTCTATTGAGATCATTGAATTCGTTCATTTACCCACTTCTTACTTGAAGGACCTGATCTGCTTGGGCCATCATTCCACACCATCTCCATCTAACAGTAATAAAACACATGAAACTAATTCTTGCACGAAAGCAAACCTTACTTATGTTATCAGTGAAGAAGATTGTTAGTGTAAACTGTCCAAGTCCATTAGCCACAGTTTAGTAAACACTTCACATGCAATTTATTTAGATACATAGTAATGATACATCATCACATTGCTGAATGAATGAACACCAAGATATTTATTATGTGGAAATAGGACTAGACTCAGTTCGGTTCCAGTTTCTTTAAACCGGAATTGGCATACCTAGTCCGATTCTGGCTCAGTTCCAGGTCAAATCACTATCATGGCGAGATTCTCATGCCAAGGGATGGCAGTTTCAGGGGTGTAGATAGGAGGGAAGAGCATGCCAGCCCTGGTCCTACCCTAGGTTCTGTAAAAACCTTTTATTTAATTGGTAAAAAAATGTGTAAATATTTAATTGATGGCTTCTTTTATTCGGCTCACCCCAATATTTCTTAGCTTCCGCTAGGAGTGGGGGCTATGACGTAAAAGTTACAGCAAAAATAAGTTAAATAACATTGGGGCATTTGAGTCGACCAAGAGGAGAGTTGTTTTAAAAGCAGGGTCATGCGACCAGACTCACTGAAAGAATGAAAAAAGAATGGAACCCTACAGTCATAGTGTAAGCGACTTTATGCAGTACTAGTGTACTACTCAATATTCCTTTTGTTTTTCAGCTCTCGTCCTTTATTTTAGTTACATGGTAGTATTTGTTATGAATGAAAAGCATGCAAGACTCAAGGAAAGAAGTAAAACAACACGAATGAATAGAGCAACATAAAATATTCTTACATTTCCAACAACAACAGTGTCACCCTCCTTTACCCCAAGTTTAATGAGAGATTTATTCACACCACAAGCCTCCAGAACATGTTGAAATCTTCTCTCAGAATCGATATAACTGTTCAAAAAAAAAGTACACCAAGCAACCAAAATTCAATGATATGATCATACTTAAATAAATGAGCTGTAAAGATATCCCCAAGAAATGCTCGTAGCATAAATGTGTGTATAGGAAAATAAATGGGCGTACCAGTTCACATGTTGACATTTGAGAAAAGAGTGCAAAAAATAGGGGCATCCAAATAAGATTAATAAAATTAAGATTAAAGAAATATCAACTTTCTCACCTCCAGTTTGTCATTTGGACAAAACGCTGCAGGCCTGATCCAACAACATGCCATGTATTGAAAGCACCATCATGTGATATCTTAAATTCACTTATTGGGGCATTTTTCTGCTTTTTCATTAAATCAGCCACATAGTTCAAATTTTCAGGACCTTCTGCCTCTGAAACAAAAGAAGTGGTTGTGAAACCAACATGGTGAAATGAACCTAAATCCTAATATGAAATACGAAAAAAAATCCTGTTGTATTATCTCTTCTTTTTGTTAAAGTAAATAAAATCAGATATGCGCACACATACACACATAATGGAGGATACAAGGCAAATGATGGTAGAAAGAAAAAATTACACTTTTGGTCACTCAATGACTTCTATTTTAATCGTTGCCAATCCAGTCCTCAACTTACGAATATAATGAAATTCTTCATAAACAGTTGATATCATGAGATTGGCAAGAGAAACTATCATGCCAAAGACCTCTTTCAATCAAATGAATAATAAAACTGTAAATTAAGATATCAACATACGTGTATAGGAGTAATTAGAATTCCAACCATGAACTTACCTTCTATATCAGCTGTCTTTCTCCTAAGAACAAGCTCATATGCAGCACATATCACTTCATGTGTACCCTCTTTCTTCACTGCACTCATGGAAAAAGGTTCAATGCCACGGCTCTTTAGGCTGTCCCTGAAGGATAGCCAATTTTCAGATGCTTCTGGAAGATCCATTTTGTTGTAAACGACTACACAAGGCTTCTGAGCAAGTTCAGGGCTAAACATTTCTAGCTCAAGGCGTACTGCTTCGAACTCATATTCAGGCTGCTGAGATGACCCATCAACAACATGCACCTATCCCCCCAAAAGAATAGTTTCCTAGTCAGTTAAAGAAGTAAACTCTTGAGAGTTAATTCAGTTAGGTAAGAAAGCATAGCTAGAAATGCATTAGCAAATTTCATGGAACTGGAGGGTTAACACGTAACAGTGTGGTAATATGAATAGATTAAATTGAAAGTGCAGTAACAGAGGCCATGCGGGAGAGTTGAAGCATATTATGCCTAAGGAGCAGAAAAGACAAAAAAAAGTACATCCAGTAATCCGATCATCAGAGTATAGCATACTGTGGTTGCTGATTGTAAATACCCCAATGACATGACACTTAAATGTTTGTTATTTTGATAAACAGCAGATGAAGGATAAAGTTATTCACCAAAAGACAAACTATAATGTCCAAACTCCAAAACTATACCAGAACGGAACATCTTTCAGAGTGCCTAAGAAATTCGTGACCCAAACCAAAACCTCGATGTGCCCCTTCAAGTAAACCAGGCAAATCGGCTACAACCATTGTAGAATCATAATCAAATGAAACCACTCCCAAATTCGGGAGCAAAGTGGTGAATGGGTAATTTGCAATAGTAGGCTGAGCAGCGCTAATGACACTGAGAAACGTACTTTTCCCTGCATTGGGAGCGCCAATTATTCCAACATCTGCAACCAACTTAAGCTCCAATTCCAACCACCTGGTCAAAGAGACCATTACTTTTATGAACCGAAAAGCACATGCACCAAGAACCATGAATGGGAATGATAAATTATTAGCTTTGTGTATACACTAGAATTATTTAAGATAGCAAGTAAAAAGTTCAAGACGATTTTGCTCAAGTGTCATCCATATATTAGCAGTATGACAAGAAAAACAACAATCACCAATAAGAGCAAGGTATTCTTAGCAGCTGTTCAAACCCTTAACGTTCTTCTGATTATTCATGCACAGTACAAGACAGGGATAGAGAAAGATGCTCACATATCTTGACCTTCTTCTCCATTCTCTGCTATCCTGGGCACCTTATTTGTCCCTGTTTTAAAAGATGCATTCCCTCTCCCACCTCTCCCTCCTGGTAGCAACAATGCCTTCTGACCTGGATGCAGCAACTCAAGAAGCACATTTCCTTGCTCCTCACCATTACCTGCATCCCTAACGACCGTCCCTGGTGGCACTTTCACCACAACATCCTCACCCTTGGCACCAAACTGCTTCCTTCCCTGGCCATGGCCTCCCCTCCCAGCTCTAAAATGTACTCTCTGCCTAAAAGGCAGCAGCGAATTCATTGAACCATCTACCTCCACATACACATTTCCTCCCCTCCCTCCATCCCCACCTGCCGGTCCTCCCAATGGCACAAACTTCTCTCTGCGAAATGCCACCACACCATTACCTCCATTCCCTGCTTTCACGTATATCTTCGCCCTATCAAAACACCTCATCACGGCAGGTACTCCCTTTTCTTTCTCCTTCAATTCATTCCCCTCTCCTTCAAAAATGGTATCCACAGCGTCATCAACATCATCCTCATAGTCTTTTTCATCAACTTCATTTTCAGAATCAGCTTCATACAGCTCAAATCTACCATAATCAAATCCTAAGTTCTCTTCACTTTTCTGAATATCTGATAACTCAGCATCGTGTGACTCCATCTCAGAATGGAGTTCTTCCTCTTTGAAAGGAGCGATGAAGTCGGTGAGCTTAATTTCCTCCAAATTATGGAGATTTGTGACCAAAAAGTCATTTTTAGGAGGCAGTTGAGTGTAGGTCGTAGCTGTGTCACCAGCGGAGATGGAGAGCGGTATTGGCGGCAGGAATTCACCGGACTTGAGCTTTGGGTGGTTGTCTTTTCGTCTTCGGATGTTCGTTAGCAGTCGTTTAAATTTACGCCCGCTTCGGTTAGGAGGTTCAGCTTCGCATCGGTGGGGGAAGTAGGACAGAAGAGTAGCAGAGACAGATGAGGCCGCCATGTTCAGCTCACCCGCTAAGATGGGGAAACTGAGAAAGCCTATCTAAAATGTTGGGCTCTCGCATCTGATTGTCCTTTTTTTGGAAAGAAAGAAATGGACGGTACTGTTGCTGAAATGTTTGTTGGTCACGTAAAACTGTCAAATTAGTTTTCAAAATAAATGACACATCATGCCTCGGGCCCCCAAACCCGACGGGACAGTACGTACTTGCAGAGAGCCTAGACACTTTTTAGCATAGTAACCTCTCATCCCAGTTGATGGGATTCGAACTCGAGACCTAACTCTTGTGTCACTCCCTCGCTACCAGTTGAGTTAGGCTCACCGGTTGTCAAATTACTTTTCAAAAGAACTACTCCGGAGTAGTCTTGCATGATAAAAAGATGTCAAAAAAATAAGTATGGGTGTGTGAGTACACCTCGCATGTTGCTTTTGATGTGTGGGCATACCAAAACTGAATATTTGAGGTGCGAGACAATCAAATAAAAGATAAGAGTAACACATATTGTAGATCAAACACAATAGTCACAATTTGATTATTTGGTCACGTGCATAGAAAAATAAGTGATGCACCTCTTAGACGAGTTGAGAGATGAAGAGAAGTAGGGGTAGATTCGGGCCGAGCCGGGTCCGGGTCAGGCCTAGGCCCGGGCGGGCCGGCGGTTCAGGATTGGTGGACCCGGGACCGGCCCGGGTAGCCACCGGGTCCGGGCCGGGCCCGACCTCCGATTTGGGTATTTTTTTTTCCCTTTCCTAACCCCCCCCCCCCCCCCCACCCCCACACACCCTCTCAAACCCCCCAAACCCCTCCTAACCATCAAGCCCAACCCGGGTAGAACCCCAAAAAATGAAAAAAAAAATCAATTTGGCCTGAACCCGGGCCTGACCCAGTCGGGCCGGTTCGCCAAATGTGAGACCCGAGCCCGGACCCGCCCTACCCCCGGGCCTAGGCCCGACCCGGACCTGGATCCGAGAACTAAGCCGGTCCCGGTCCCGCACAGTAGCGGGCCGGGTGGTCCGACCCGAGTCCAACACTAAAGAGATGAGGCGAGAAGGATGGCGAGAGGAAGAACCAAGAAAGCATGAATTAGAAGAATCAAAAATGATACGTAGTACGTTTCTTCTTAAATTGGATGAATGTAGGGATGGACCGGTTCCGGTTCGGGCTCGGTTCGGGCCTGGGCCCGGCCGGGCCTCAGTTCATGAAGGGGAGGCCCGGAACCGGCCCGGGTAACCCCTGGGTCCGGGCAGGACCGGGCCTCGGTTCTATTTTTTTGGCTTTTCCTAGTTAACCCCCAACCCTCCCCTCACCCCCAAACCAACCCTAACCACCTCAAATGGCCCAAAATACCCAGCTCAACCCAAAAACTTAAAAAATATCAAAAAAAAATGGCTCAGCCCGGGCCCGAACCGGCCGGGCTGGTTCACCTTTTGAAGGGCCCGAGCCTGAACCAACATCCCACCGGGCCGGGTGGCCCGAATCGGCCAACCAACCGGTTTACCGGGCTGGTCTAGGCCCGCACAGTAGTGGGCTGGTTGGCCTGGCCTGAGTCTTTTCATCCTTTTTATCAATGTATGACTTTGGATATAACACAATGGAGAGGTTGAACTCTTTTCATCCTTTTTATCCTTTTATCTTTTTATCCAAATAACATACTTGTATAAAATAAAAAACTCTTTGATTTTAACAAATAAAATGACTTTCTCCATTTCATACTTTAACAAATAAATGAACAATATCGAACGAAATGACCAAAGTGATGACAAAAGTAAAAACTCTTTTGTACTATTTATGAAATTAAATATAACATTAAAAATATAATTAATAATTTAATTAGTAACAATTAGTCATCGTTTTTAAAAATGTATAGTTTCAGTGTGAGCAGAAATACTACGTACATATTTGTGCAAGTGCAACAAACCAAGGACGAGAAAGACAGTTTACCAAGCAACCTAAGGACTAAAGACGTTACTTTCCCTACAATCTAATGCTTTAAGAGGCAACATCGTAATCCAACTTCTGGCAAAACAAACGATTCTTTCTCAATTATGCTACCCTTCTTCCACTGGCTCCTCTTCCTGGAGAAGGTTCTCTCTATTGTCGTGGGCCCAGAAACCACGGACATCAACGAGCATGCTGGCCACAGTCCCGCCTTGCTTACATGCCAGCAAATCACCCAGCGTTATCTTCAAAGGATCAGCAGGCTTCACCATGTCCCATATTTCATCTCTCACATCCTCAATGCAAAGTTCATAATTCCCTCCTTCGATCCACTTTTGATGAACATCTCTGTTGTGAATGAAAAAATAGATTTAGTGTTATGGCCAATATGGTATCTACAGACTCATAAAATGACATTAATACTGCCTCCTTCCCTTAAAGAATTTCTTAGTTTGACTTCCATGGAGTTTACAGAAATCAGATTTCTTAGTTAGACTTTCACAATTACTACTTGGAGGGTAGTAGAGTAAATTGATAATATTTTCTTAGCGAAACAATGAAGACAGACTATTTACAGACAGGGGAGGAAGGAGTGGATGATCAATAGTACACATGAAAAAAGGCAAAACAAAGCCTTGAAACACAACTTTAAAAGAAGAAATCTGAGTATGGTGCCACTTGGTGCACACATGTATCTGGTGACTTGAGGCTCGTTGAACAAGCTCGGGAACTACAAGCAGGAAATCCCAGAAGATTTACTTTAGGAAGAATAATCAGGGAGCATCTTAACTTCTCAAAACTCCCCTTCTTTACTTCCATTAGGTTCTTGCTTGTTTTGTCTTTTGTATATACGTGGTAATGCATAAATGCCAATCAAGAAAATGAAGAACGACCAGCAACCATTTCCAGTACACCAAGCACAAGCATTATTGTGTATGAAAGCATCAAACTTGAAATAACTTTGTTTTTAGCATTCTGACCTGAAGAGAGTGTGAATATCAGTAGTCGTTAGATAACCCTTCCCGTGCAGGTCAAGACACCGGAACAGGTATGTCAAACCCTCAGGAGTATCTTTGTTTTCAAGGGCTAAAACAAAGTCGAGAAAGCTTTCAAAATCCATCTCACGGCCATTAATGCCTCCAGTTTTCCCACGCCGGACATGTTCATCAAAAACTAATGCCAAGAAAATAAAAATTAAAAAGATTAAACCACAAGACACAAAAGCCGAATTAATGTTCTATCATGTATCTAGTAAAATCTTCAAGTATACTGCAAACATAAATATGTAAGATTTTAACTATAAAACTTTAGTGAGTTAATTAATTTTCTGGCTCACCAAAAATCCGAAAGTTCTGAGGCCCTAGCCAAACTACTAGGATGTGTGTGTATACATCATACGCATATGTGCATGCATATATAAACTGATAAACATGTATGTGTATAGAGAGGCATATAGTTGTTATTTTAGTGCTCTGCCATAAAAAGTATCCATCCAGCATAACTAGTTTTCATTTGTCAACCATTAGATTTTACTTCAAATGATTATGATTACACTGGCAATCATTTAATGTTTATACTGAAATGTTTGAACATGTATTATTTAGTTATGAAAACAATATCCATTCATAAAGATGTATACAAGGATATATATATACACACGCATTTTTGGCGAAGCGGTCAAGCGGGAGTCACACACAGATATAATCCAAACAATTATAAATGAACAGATATAATACATGACTTTGCAGACATTTTTGCGCATAATTGTTAAAAGGTTTAGACACTAATCTGTTTTTACCTCTCTCAATGAAAATATCTGTAAGTGTCCCTTCTGCATATTCTCGGAGTTCTTGCTTGCTCAATGTTCCATTCATATCTTTATCAAGAGCAAGGAACATATCTGCAATATTTCATGAAGACCCGAGAGTTGAATATCCCTGGAACCCAATTGAGTAAATAACTACATGGAATATTGATTGCAGATATTTAAGCAATTAGAGAATGTCTGACGGTCTGACCAGAGTGAAAAGAGGGGAGGAAAGAGAAATAAAGGTAAATTTTACTAGAGAATAAATTGATTTTTGTTTTTATCATCCACACATTGAATATCTTCCACAGAATTCTTCAGGTTGTATAAAACATTTCTTGTATGTTTGACATCATTCATGCTGGAATTTGAATCAAATCTTCCGGCTGTTTTTTGTCAAAACATTAGGTAAACATTTCGAAAAGGTTGAAAGCCCTAAAAGACAGTTATTATTGCTTCTTAATTCTTAAACTAACTAATAAAAGGTTACATTAATTAAGATTTTATCGAGCTTATTTGAAAAAATATGCAACTGGAATTCAAATTTAACTAAGAAAATGTTGAGCAAAACCGTGCGACCTAGCTTTCATTCTCATTATACACACTATGGGGGCATTTGGTCAACAGAATGTACATTGCCTAGGCAATGTTAGAAAGGTAGTTTAACATAACCTTTTTGGTTTAAATAACCTGATCACTGTAAGCGACATCCCATTTTAATTTAATAGTAAAAATAACATCTCCTTCCCTTCCCGTCTAAGCATTTCAAATCTTCTCCCAAAGATACCCTAAGAATTGCATCAGAAGCACAATATTACAAGATTATGTACTAAACATGGATCAGATATACAAGATTATATACTAAACATGCAATAGAAGTAAAAGATTATATCTGATTCGGAGTGATTCCTTTAATCTTTTACTTCTAATGCATGTTTAGTATATAATCTTGTATATCTGATCCATGTTTAGTATCAGTGATATTCAATGCACGTGTATCAATATGAATTGGATTCGGTGAAGAAGTCTATGTGCCTACCACATATGCGCTGTGCAGATGTCAATGAGAACCAGTTTTCAGCTTGTTCAGCATCAGTTACTTCTTCCTCACTTTCCTAGTGACCAGAAGAGATAACAGTATAATACCATGTCAATGCCACCTAAGAACAAATTGAAATTTGACAAGCATATAGCTTCATACTTTCACAAGCTCCCAAAATATGATATTAACTTTAACATCAAATGACTGAATGAAACAAGTCAACTACTACACGGAATACTAATTCATAAGTATTTTGAACTAGCACTCGTAAAGCCACTCTACCTGATGTAGTTCCATTAGCTCCTGAAGACAGTTACTGAGTAGAATCTTCTTTATGCATGCCTTTCCTGTTATAGATAGCATGACATTTTGTGTACTTAATTATGCGAGTAAATATCAAGAGGCATTGAAAGCCTTCAAACAAGAGGCATTGCATATCTAAATGTAACATGAGGCAAACCTCGCCTATTGGGATCACAAAAGAAGAAAAATTTGTGCGCAGCAATGCGACAATACATTTGCACAAAGGCTGCGGGCATGTCTCGCAGTTGAGCCAGATTAGGTATAAGGCCTCGTATGTAAGATTCCATCTCCTATTGAAACATACAGGTATTGAGGTAAGCACCTTTACAAAGTCCAATGAATAACCACTAAACACACCACACGAATGCAAAAAGGGCGATCCTATGTAGTTACTATATAACTCTCACCTCCCTTATAACTTAACCAACTTATCCTTTTTTGGTTGTCCAAAAACTTGGCCACTTTCCATTTTAAGATATTAATTTTCAGTTCTTATTAATTCTCACTTCTCCATAGAATCAGAACAGGGTGGATGAAGTGGAAGAGTGCATCAGGATTTCTATGCGACCGAGGTATGCCGACTAGACTGAAGGGTAAATTTTATAGGACAGCAATTAGGCCTGCATTACTGTATGGCGTAGAGTGTTGGGCGGTGAAACAATGTCACATTCAAAAGATGAGTGTGGCAGAGATGCGCATGCTGCGTTGGATGTGTGGGCATACTAGGAAGGACCGCGTGAGGAATGAGACAATCAGACAAAGGGTGGGAGTAGCACCTATTGAAGACAAGATGCGGGAGTCGCGCCTACGGTGGTTTGGTCATGTGCGTAGAAGACCGAGTGATGCACCTGTTAGGCGAGTTGAGATGTGTGGAGAAGAGGCAGGGAAGAGAGGGAGAGGAAGACCCAAACAGACGTGGGTTAGGGGAGTTCGAAGTGATATGCTTCTTCTGGGGTTGGATGTAGGCATGACTTTGGAGAGAACTAAGTGGAGGGCGGGTATTCACGTGAAGGAGTGATCTTGATAATCTTTTTCCCTCATCTCTTTTTTTCCCTAGTTTTTTTATCCTTATATATAAGCATTATTTGCAACCTTTTTATTTTATCATTTTTATATATATTCATCTTTTTTTATATTATCTTTTCATAATAGCTTATCTTTTTATCTTTATTCCTTCTTTTCCTTTTGGTTGTGATATCATGTATCGATTCATGTTAGCCGACCCCAATATCTTTTGGGACTAAGGCTTGGATGTTGTTGTTGTTGTATTAATTCTCACTTCTCTGTACAAAGCCCAACGTCACAATTTTTACGTTATGATTCTACGTGTTGGTCAAACTTGGTTAATTTATAAGGGATGAAGGGACTATTTTTAAAAATTATAAATCTAGAAAGTCCATGGAGCCATACATGAGGTTGAAGGAAGCCATCGGAATCTTCATCAAGCTCACTCATATCTATCCTTGCTTGTGTCAGTGAAACCTGAAAATGGTATTAAAAATGGTGTCATTATATAATTGATAGAGAAGAGTGCTCCAGGCAAATATCTTTAGGCTCTAAAGTAAAATATAAAACAATTGTCAATAAGAACAAAAAGAAGACAAGACATATTATCATATGAGTTCCCAGCAACAGAAAATCTATTTGTCAGTTAGAATCAGCCCAATTAGTGAACCTTATCACCAATTCCAGTATCAATCAAATAAATATCAGGAATAGAAATAAAGTTCCACAGACAAGATGTAACAAAACCCACCGTGCGCATGACATAAAGGTAGAAGGGTAGAATAGCTATCCTGCCTGATTCATCTTTCTCAAACTTCATAAAATTTGAAGGACTGAAAAAGCGGCGACATTTAGGGCCTATTTGTTCTGTACAGACCGAGGCAATGTGGCAAAAGTCTTCATAGTTCATCTACAAGATTGCAAAATGAAAGATGCACTTGAAACATTTAAATGCTTTAATGTAAATGAATAAACACAGTGAACAAATAAAAGGTTATGCAGTATTTTAAGAAGGGGAAATGGATGCAATATAAGGCTTGAAAAATTAAAAAGGCAACACCATGAGATTCTTGAGAAAAATGAAAACATAAAACAAAAGTTGTAAGCCATAGAAACAAGCAAGCTCACTGAGTTGTGTTTAGTGACCTCGGTCTATTCAATTATCTAGATAAGCATGCTCAATATGGACAGAAATCAGAGAAGTATCAACATAAAAGGTAAAACTCTTAGCTCCACAGACAAGCTGTAATCAAATAAATGTATGATGAATTGAAGACCTTTTCAGCACCAGTTGCATCATCTATAACGCAGTTTTCTCTTAAGCAAACCCACATCGCATCCAAATCATCAGCATTTAACAGAAGATCTGATTGTTTCTGTAGAGAAAAAACAAAATACCTAATTTACTATCATGTGCATATCCAAATAACGAGTCAAATATCTAACTAACTTCTGTATAACATTAAATAGTTCATACATAATTTTGTAAACGTGAAAACTGAAATACCATCATGTACAAAAATGAAGACTTATACTTGCTGGGTGGGGAGAGAGAGTAGGGATGCATAAGGAGTTTTGGGTGATAAGTGATAACTGCACTTAAGATTAAAAACAATTAGAGAAAGTCAATGCCTTTAGAAACCGATACTTTGCGAGCCTCTGAACCCTTTGACTGATTGATCCTTCCTCGGGCTTCTGAAAATATGAAACAAAGCACAAAGTAAAAGAGATGAAAATATGTAACATGTGAAGGCCATTACGCTATCCTACTAATACAATAGAAAAGTGGTTCTTACTTTTTTATAGAAGCTGGGAATTGTGCCAGCAGCAGCACTTCTTTGCTGTTTCTCTTTAAAAATATCAAGCAAGATCTTCTTTGTTTCAAGCTCTTCAAAATTAAATAGAATCTATCCGTCAGAAAAATAATATATTGACTAGCACATGGCTGGAAAATTACCTCAGACCAAACTTAAAACAATTAACTACGCAATTAAGTCAAATGATCTTCGTGTATGACTAAAACTCAATGCTGCAAACAATGGAATCAAGACCAGCCTATTGGGAGAGCTTTAAGCGTGGAGTTATTTACAAAAACCACTCCGTACTACTTCTGTATCCGGGTATGCTTCGTCCAAGGTTTGCACATACTTAGATTCGTGCTTATGGAAATAAATAATTGATAAAATCCACTCATGTTCCATATCTTAAACTGCTGAAGGGGGATAAATATGAATGATAAAGCCAGAAAATGTTGAATTTAATCAATCGACTAAGTGAAACATATGGGAAAGATCGAGATTCATGCTGGACTGACCCATGAGTGCTTCAGAGCCAAGACCTGTCCCGTCTCCGATGTAACGCCGGAGGTTACGGACCCATGGCATATTTGACGGGGGAGATATCTTCCGGGAACCGGAGAGATCGTTACCGTCGACATCGCCTGAGCTACCGTACATTTGAGCTACAGCTCAAGAAAATCCAGATCCGAATCTTGAAGGTTCGAGTTCTGCTAATTCTGTCCCAAATGTAGCTAGAATCCGGTTCGTAAACCGAGATGGTAGTCCTTCCTGCAAAATAGTTGCTCTCTACAGCGTCGACTAGTTGCTGAATTTGGGAGGTTCCCTGTCCGCACGAGGAGTGACTGAGTGAGGCAGGAGTTGCAGGACACCGAGGTAGGAGGCAGGCCAGAGCACCTTATTATTTTTTCTCCTATTCTTAAAATTGTTAATAATTTTTTTATTTTTGATCTGATTTTTATAAAATTTATATCAAAAAAATTTATTTTTCATAATCTTTCAAATGAGACCAATATTACCTATGTAATTTTAATTTTTTACATTCATACATTTTTTGTAATATATTTTTATATGCATACACTTTTTCTATAATATATTTCTTATCACTTTTATATGTTTTTAGAGGTTTTTAAGATATTGAGTTTGTTTATTTTACTTCTAGCTTGAAGTTACATTTGATAATATACGAAGTTACATCATCTTATACTTCAGTTACAAGTTATTATGTGTGACTTACATCTTGTTATACACGAGTTACATACTTTTATGCGCGAGTTACATGTAAATATGTGTGAATTACATCTTGTTATGTGTGAGTTACATCTTGTTATACACGAGTTACATACTTTTATGCGCGAGTTACATGTAATTATGTGTGAGTTATATCTAATTATTTGTGAATTCTTACTTATCTTTATCTTGAACTAATTCAATTATAACTAAATTAATTTTTTCTTTGCCAATTTAATACAAAATTTTATTAATCCACATAAAATAAGTATATTGTATTTCATATTCATACAATATTTTTCAAATGATAAAAATGAAAGATGTAGCAGGGGTTTATTTCGTGATGTAACTCACATACATTAAGATGTAACTCGCGTATATTAAGATGTAACTCGCGTACAATAAAATGTAACTCGCGCAGAAGAAGATGTAACTTCATCATATATTATCAAATGTAACTTCAAAATAATTTGTTAAAATTACATAAGCAATATTGGTCTCATTTGATAGATCATGAAAAATAAAAAAATTGATATAAAATTTATAAAAATCGGATATCAAATAAAAAAGTTATTACAATTTTTAACAATAAAAGAAATAAAAAAATAATGGAATCAACCACTGAAGCTGCGTCGTTTTGCAACCGGGTGCACCATCCTCATGGTGCGCCGGTTGCAAGGTATAAATTGCGGGCCAGAGCATCTCCAAGTGTGTCTCTTACCCACAATTTTTCATATTTAGCACTCACATATTTCCTATTTTATTTTTTCCTAATTTATTTTAAATTTTATTTTCTTACATTACCTTTAACCCACTTTTTATCAACTTTTTCATCTTGAATCTCGTGTAAGGTTCATTTATGGATCTTTTTCATAGAACTAGGTCTACTTTTCATTTTTTCACCTTTCCCTAGACACCATTTCATTCAAATATTCATTCTATCTCTATCTTATGTCACATCACTACAATCCACCCTCCAATCGTAGATGCTCTAAGAGGTCTTGTATGTGAAGGCAGCCAATGATATTTTTTTAAGTAAGTTGGATTATTTGTGATTTTTTGAGCTCTCAAAATTGAAAACTCACTTTTAATGCAACCATGAAGCCATGAAGGTACAAGAGCACCTCAACCATTTTTCTCGCACATCATTTTCACATCACATTCATTCAATAAATTTTAATAATCTTAGAGTTTAAACTCTTTAACACAACGATATTCAAATAATTAGTTTTTCTCAGACATGCATTAAATGTAATTTAACTACAATTTAAAATAATTCGGGATTTGAATCTTGATAGTGTATTTTCTTTTTCAATAATCTCCCTAAGTAATCTATCATTCACAATGATAATCTTTAAAATAGTCATACCCGCCATCCAATTAAACTTTAAATAAACTATGCATGAGAATACTCTAAATGACATTTATGAGTAGGGTTCATATTAGGTGAGAAATGTTCTGAACAGTCCAGATTTTACGGGAACTGCCGCCTAGCTAAGCTCATATGAGGGTTTTTTAGGTTGATTTTTTTGATAAAATTTATGAACATGTTTTTCATCAAGTGTAGAATATTCATACAAAATTTCAGATTAAAATTCAATTGACAAGCCTCTTAAATAAATATTGGAAACACGATGTTTTTCAAGCTTTATGGTTAGGCGGTTGAAAAATGCACCTCATCAGAACTGTTAGCTTGGCCGGACGGCGGTTCTGCTCAGGCATGCATGACCAGATCTTTACTTCATATTGTGGCAGTCTCCGTTTAGGTTGACAATGAAATGTATGATCTGATTTTTTATTCATTAGCATCGACTATTAGTTCCAACTGTTTGACTATGAAGAAAAAAAATTGCAAGTTTGAACATAATTTTTATGATAATTTTTTTGGAACAAATTTTATGATAAATTAATAATAATACTCGCTCCGTTCTTAAATATCTCTCACGCTAGCCTTACTCTCAATCCATTGCATATGTGCCTTGTCCGCGGCTTCAGTCTTTGCCAGATCTGGAACACGCATGCCACCATCGAAATGTTGGTGTGACGTTTCAAGCAGACATGGGTTAGAATCGGAAAGTTGGATCGGCGAATCAGGTAACAGACGTCGGAATCGGAAAGTAGATCCGACGTTTCAAGGACATAAGGATAAGGATTAATCTGCTCATAGGGAAGATCCATCTGAGCTAGAATGGTAGTGCGAGAAGAGAGCAAAGGAAGGAGGGGGTAGAAGTTGAAAGGTTGAGGGTGATGATACGAAGATAATGTCAGGCGTTGGGATGACAAGTGGAAGATGGTTAGGCGGTGGGGTGTAATTAAGGTAGTGGGTGGGGAGAATAAAATGAGTTTAGGTGTAGGGATAATAAATGAGGGTAAAAGATGGAAGTGTATATTGGTATATTTACACTAAAAACTTTCCTTAAATGGAAAGGAGGACAAATAAAAAAAAAGCATACCAAAATGAAAAGCGAGACAGATAATAAAAAACGAGGGGAGTATTAGATGAGTGTTAGATGTGAAAAAAGAGGTTTAAAGGAGTATATTTTCGAACAAAATTTAGGTGTAGCGATTGAAACAAATACGGAGTAATGAATACAATTTTTTTTATCATAGTAATGAATACAAATTACTACGTAGATCATAAACTTCATTTCAACCTAAAATAAAGTTGGCCTTACGGGTACTCAATGGATTAGTCTCTAACAATGGCGGATCTAGGATTTATTTTTATTGGGGGCAGATTAGTTAAAAAAACACTTAAGAAGAATGAAATTTAAAAAAAAAATAACAAAACATATCACATTGTCTCACCGAGTTTTTATCTTTTGAAAAAGATCCATTGCAATTATGTTTAAGAATCTATAATAACAAATACAAAGTAATTTAAATTTTGAATTTTTAAGTATCCACATGACATTTTGTAATATTGTTAACCATCTCAATAAGTTATCAATTGAAATAAATTGTAAACTATTTTCCCTAATTGTTAACTCTTTCAAGAGTCTATGGTTATTATGATTAAGATTGAATATGATGAAATTCTGATTGAATTGACTGAATATACTGTATTATAGAAAAATTTTGTTTACAAAATATTTGTTCACTGATCTAAAAATCGGCCTAGTCAAACCGCTTTAATCGGCGACTAGGCGCTAGACAACCCTAACCGTAGATGACTACAAAAAATTGGTCTAGTTGTGTAACACCCCGGGGCCCCACACGGACCCGAGGTAGTTACTCTAGACCCCTAGTACTGTCCCCACAAACCACCACGAGCCTTTACCGCGCACTTTGTCCTCACTCATGCGCGCCCTGAGATGCACCTCTGTTGGTATGAGTAGTACTATTAATCCTCTTAAATTAATCTCGGGTATTACAATCACCCCCACTTAGGATCGCAACGTCCTCGTTGCGCCCTTAAACCAATCTCAATAAAACCCCAGAATCTTGCCCCGCTAAGTGCCCGCCCGATATCTAACAGGTCAGCACACTGTCGCAGGGTTGCTCTGATACCACCTGTAACACCCCGGGGCCCCACACGGACCCGAGGTAGTTACTCTAGACCCCTAGTATTGTCCCCACAAACCACCACGAGCCTTTACCACGCACTTTGTCCTCACTCATGCGCGCCCTGAGAAACTTCCCAGGGGGTCACCCATCCCAAGACTACTCTCGTGCAAGCACGCTTAACTTTGGAGTTCTTGGGTGATGAGCTCCCTTAAAAGGAGATGCACCTCTGTTGGTATGAGTAGTACTATTAATCCTCTTAAATTAATCTCGGGTATTACAAGTTGCCCCTCAAACACCTGTCTAGCGTCTAGGTGCTAGACACCCCTCAAACACTCGACTAGCGGCTAGCGAATTTTAGAACAATGCGTTTTCTTAGTAAATTAAAAAAAGTTATCTAAAAACACATGGGGATCTCCAAAAAAATAAAAAAATAAATAAAAACACATGGGGATCCACTTTAGTATTTTCAACCAAATAACTAATCCGAACATTAATTTTCTATTACACAATCCAGCACGCCAAGTCAAAAGATGCGTATTTGATATAAAAACTGTATGATAAGGTTGATTTTTCCGGAAAAAAGAAAGTCATCAACAATCGCATTACATTAAAATACACATGAACTATGCATTTACTAGATCAATTAAGATCATAGCAGAAAACTTATGTTCAATTAAAAATATCCTAAATTACTCACAATGATAATTTAATAACCTGTTTAATTAAATAACTTAGCTTGTTTATAGTTTTATGAAATTTAATATACGACATTAAAGAAAACATATGGGGGAATCATATACGATGTACCCAAAAATCAAAATATTAAAGAAGACCAACATCAAATTAATAAAACATTTATTAAACCTAATGTGATAAAATAGACTCGATTGGCATACTCTTGCAATTGGTAGTTCCGGTATCAAGAATTGGAGTCTTGGAAGATATCTTCAATGGTCCGATTTGACCTTTGATAGGTGGTGACTATGTCTTCACTACTTACTCTCTCACTTTGATTGATCAACTACTCGTTTGGTTTTTCAATAGCCAAGTGAGTTAGTGGAGCAATTTTCTTTTCCTCCCAAATTACCCAACTTCGGGCTACAGCTGTTGGGTTATAGCATTATAGGGGGCAATAGTATTTTTTTATTGGGGGCATATATTAGGCTTTGTAAAAT